TTCTCCATATTTATTATTGGTCCCTATAATAGAAGTCATAAAACTTTTTATTCTTAATCAGTATTCACCATGGCGACATCTAACCATAAAGTTTTCTATATTTAACATTAGAAAAAATTCTACATTTTAGAACTCTCAGTTTTCTAAAGAAAAAAAAAGATTAAAAACTTCTCGATTGCTAACCAAACAAATGGACAAAATTAAAATGTTTTCTATAGGAAATTGATCTTAAAATTTTTATTTTAATAGCATAGTAGACAATTTAAAAATAATAAAGGTGTGTATGATTATTTTTTAATGTTTGGTTTAAATTTTAAAATTTTAATTAATTAATATTTTAATGAATTGAAGATTTTCCATAAGTTGCCAAAGAATAGAAAAAAAATTATTGAAAAAGTTTTTCAAAGTATTCCAAAATCAAAAAACAATTTTTGGAAAAAAAATATTTTCTATGGAAAATATTTTCAAAAATGAAATTGATTTCCATGAACCAAACTAACCCCTAAGGGTTGTTTAGTGAGAAAAAACTTTTATTCTAAAATTTTCTAAATTTTTTCCTTATAAAATTGTTTAGGTATTTTTACACTTTAATACTACAACAAAAAATGATAAAAGTGGTATTTTTAACATATATTTTCTTTAACACAATTCATAACCAAAAAATTTTTCTTCTTACACTTTTTGAAAAAGAAAAAAAGTTTCCCTTTAACTTTTCTTATGTGGGCCTACTTTACAACTTTTATACTAATTTTTTATATAATCAATGATTTGTTTGTTTAATTAGAAGGAGTTTGGTTATTTTAAATATAATTTTGAGTTCAAATTTTATAATAAAGAAACGAACATTAAAAAACTGTCATTCCTTATGATGATTCAATTTTAGATTAATCAAATCTTAATGTGACTTTTAGATACCATGGTTAGTATAATAAAAATAATTTTTTCTATACCAATTTCTTATCATACACATAATAATAATAATAATAATAATAATAATAATAGCCAACAAAATTTCAATAAAATCCTAATAAAATTTTATTACAAAACTTAATAACTTTCTGTTCATAACTATTTTAATTACTTTCCCAGTAAAAGCTTTCCTGATAAAGCAGCCCTCTAACCAGTCATACCCAAACTATTTTTTAAGCCTGA